TGTGTATTTTAAAGAAGTAGAAAAAAAAACAATATTATTTATATAATATTTGCAAATACATACATATTATTTTGAAAAAAACAATGAGTTTGTCTTTCACTTATTTGGTTGTTTATTTTTATTACAAACAAAAAAGTTGTACTGCACAATTTTATTTACAGTTACACAAGTGAGTTCTTGACGGGCTTGATAAATATACATAATTTACTTCTTGGAACACATCGGACATCCCCGGCTTGTTCCCCGCAGGACGGAGTGAGCTGAACTGAGCTTTCATCTGAGCTTTAGGTAGCAAATTGAAAGTTGTCGGTATTTATTAAAAAAAATTGAGTATATATAATGGTACTGAACTATATGTGACCGACATATTAAAATATGTATCCCCAACTGACACAAACTTCAATATTAAAATATAAAAAAGTGATGTAACAGTTTACAGCTATACCAATCAAATCAATGTATTTAAGGTTCTTTCTCATTGGACAATTGGATGTGACTATCAAATTATATATAATTCGATATTTACATACAAATATGCACCTACACTCCTACAGTCCTATTTACATAGCCTGATTTTGGGTTTTAGGACTTTAAAAACCCCTGCGGGTAAAACTATTTATATATATAGTTTAAAATATAAAAAACAATATACGGATATGTTTATTATACACTGTCCTCAACTCCTCATTAAACAAAAATTAAAACAATACATGTAAAACCAACAAATCAAAATTGGACAAAACAAAAATTTCAATCAAATTGTGCAGCAGGCCATCAGCGTCTTTTTGTTTTCCAAAAAACCCCTTTTTCTTTCTTACTCTCAAAACCATTTTGGCCACACTTTGAAACCTGTTTGCCGCTGGTGCAGGTGGTCGGCCTAATCTCATGATTCCGTTGTATGTAAATATTACCTACATTTATCAATTTGTAAATATAAGTTTTGATCTCGTTTCGTGTTTTGGCTCGGAACTCGTGCTAAATCTGTCATAAACTTGTGCCTCACCAAAAAAAACTCGGTGCTAAAATCATTCAGTTTTCAAACTCGATCAAAACTTCTCGAACAATTTGATATTCTGTTTTTTTTTTTTAAATTGTTTTGGACAATAGTTTGATCAGTAATTTACAATAGTAATAAAAATCTTATATTTTTTTACTATAAATATCTCTCTCTACTAGTAGCAGAGAGAGAGGGTCATGAAAAGAGCAAATTGCAAATACATACTTGTATCGTATGTAAGATATCAAATGTCTTTGTTTCATTTTGTTGTAAAAACCCAAGAACAAAAGTTGCAATTTCAGAACTGAGAACTGAGTGCAAGTCGGCAAGGCGGAAACGTAAATGCCCTGAACTGCTGCTGAGTGCTGAGTGCCGAGTGCCGAGTGCCGAGTGCCGAGTGCTATTGCCGTCAGTGCCGCGATAGCTTGAGGAGGGCAAAGTATCGTCAGTCCGTCATGCAAGGCAAGGTTGGAAATGATTTTTTAATACAACACATGCCACTTGTAGCATCCTGATATTTTTCAGTAGTAATTATTGATATTATAAGTACCTATCCAATCTTGAGCAATGCATTCGTTGTTATGGTTGCGACGATTTCACCGTATGAAGTATCGGGTACAGCCTCTATATTGCTTAAAATAAGTACAATCTCTCAAAATAAATTTAGTGTCATATTTCCGCCTATAGTGTGTACTGTGCAGTCTCAAGCAGGGACGTGCTGGTCCAGACATAAATACGCTACTGTCGTGGCTGTTTCGTACTGATGACACGATATTTTTTAATTAATATTGCAAACAAATCAATAGCTAAACAGCAGTGTGATAGACTACATACGTCAAGCTATATGCGGTGGCCTGTTTTTAAAACATTAATTATTAAAAATAGTTACAAAATGAAAAAATTTGAGAGTCGATGAATACGAGATATTTATTAGTCATCTCTTGCCCTGTCTGAGAAAATTTCATCAAGTGTCACAACAATACACACTACGAAGGCACTATCAAAGCCTGGCATGACGCTCACAGCATAGGTATCAGATCCAAACAAAAAATTGGCCATATTCACTATGTCTCTACGAACTGTAGCCATCACATTGCCCGTACTAATGTCAACAATGTCATAGTTGCGATTCAGGTACGATCCTGAGATTTTGTAATCGGGATCCGAATCTTCCACACCGGCACCCTTTAGAAACGTTACCTCAGCATTGGACTTAAACTGAAAGAAACTCTTGGCCTTCACCTCAGCCACCTTAGTTTCATCGGCACGACAAATGTACTGGCGTCTGTGAATAGAGAAGAGCTTCTCGTTGATCATTGCGATGGTGTTGCCTTCGTTGTCGAGGACACGTTTCTTCTCGCTCAAGCTGAGTTTCTTGCCCTTGATCTTGAACCAGAGCTGACCAAAAATATCCTTCACCTCGCCGGAATCACCAGTAAGTGATATTCTGTTTTCCTTGAAAACTAAGTGCTGAGGCTCTGGTCCTTGAACAACGAACTTCTGCCCGATGACTGCACTAGGGTTATGAGCCATATTATCTGATAATGTTATCTAATTTGAATCAGTATATCGTATTGTGTTTTGTATTATGGCTTGGATTTATCAACCTCACGATTCATTATATACACATTTAAAATGTCACAATTTTTGACTTCCTGTGTCCTTTTAATTGCCTCGACAGCTGAGAGAGAGTCTCTCTCTCTCTCTCTATGGTAGAGCTATTTTTAAAATAGTTAAATAACGAGTAAAGAACAGAAAGTAGCAGAGGAATTATATATATCTAAATACAATTTCTTTTGATGACTCATGGAAATGTTCCTTCGATGATCTTCTCTCTCTCTACAAAGTCCAGACTCCAGACTGGCATACAGACTCCAAACTCCAAACTCCACTCTCCAGAGACCAGAGGCCATGTCCGCATTCCGCACTCTTTGAGCTCATATGGCATATCTCAAATTCTCAACAATCTCATAAATACATAAATATCTGAAATCATATATCTGGTCCATGTACGCGACCAGCGGCCCCGCCTGGGCCTCAGCCCTGAGGCCTGAGGCCCTGAGGGGCTGAGCCACTGAGGACTCGAATCTTTATACCGGATGCCCTACATATGGTCTATTTTTGTTTTTATAAAAAGAACAAAACCAAAAAGCAAGGCATGACAAATTGACAACAGACAATCCTGTTATTTTTGAACATACTAAATACATTGGAGAAGGGAAAAAATGTCCGACAGTCCCAACTGACCATTTGACGAATTGTCAGTACTGTACAGTGTACAGAATACAAAGTCACTACTCTAGAGTTATTACATACTCGACAGTCGTGACTCGTGACTCGTGACTCGTTAATCAGTTTGTCATTGAACTTCGAAGTTGTTTGAACCTTTGAAAATTCAAAATTGTTGAAACAACCCCTCTGTTTCTGTGTTTCACAGCCCCAGAGTGAAAGGGGCAAGCCGGCAAGGGCAAGAGGGCTAATAGGCTATGTTTGAACTTTGAATTTCAGACTTCTAAGCAAAGCAACGAGATTTTATTAATTTAGATCGTTCATTATAAAAAATTGCATAAATACAACCAATCAGTCCAATCACCAATGATTTTAGGCAAGATTGATTCTACCCAATGTAGTTTTAATATCTTGAAATATCTAAATATAAGAGTTAATACATAGTTAAGTCTATAACTCACGAGGTGAAAATAGAGAATACTCTGGCCTTATTGGGGAGTCACTCTGGGACTGGGTACTCTGCGTCTGGCCTCTCTGGGGTGCCAATCAGTCCTCTATCTATTTATAAAAAAGGGAGTATGAGTTAAAATATACACTACTCCTTGCGTACAGGTGTAACCATAGACTAACCGCAATAGTCAATATACTAAACAGCACAGGCTTCAGAGATCACATACCAGCGATACCACCAGTCGAATCGATATCAGTGTATAGATATCCATCCATATACATATAAATATATATATATATACATATATATATGCATCTATATATA